TGTGTAATGATCTTATTTTATACAGGTTCTCACAAGTCCAGCTACAGTCAGACTTACCTTAACGAGCTCTTTAACCATTACTTACATAACCTTTAACCATTGGAATGTTTTCTTTCTGCCTTCTCAGAAACTTAGAATAAACTACCCTGATTTAGGATGAATGTTTAGTCAGGCTGTAAATGTAAATATATAAGCCTTTTAGTGCATTTGAATGTTTTACCTCCACAGAATGATGCTGTTCAGATCTTGCAGTGCAGAACTGTGACTATTAGAGCTCGGCCTTCAGTTTGGACCATAAGTGTCAAAACTGGGTCTGAAATAATGCTAATTTCTGCTCCTATGGGATTTCTTATACTGTGTTAGCCATTCTAGAATAAACACAAAGATTTAAAGCTTGTAAAAATTATTACGTATGTTTTATCTGAAACTTGTAACAGACAGTATCATATATCTGAGCTGGTATGTGTTAGTTTTACAGTGACTCTTTAAGTAAAGAGTTCTAATATAGAGCTGCTGCCGCCGTTTTTCATCCCTAACAACTAACCGGAACCTGCTTAGACTACAACTCATATTCACAGTCAGTATCTAGAACCTCCAGAAGAACTAGAGTGACCTATTTTCTCTTCACCCATTGTAAATCAGAGTGTGATTGGGTGATTTGCTTCCTAATTATGTTGGTAATGTGTTAATCTAACATGTAAGGCCTTCAGTACAGCTCCTGAAGTCCTAACCAATGGTAGAGCAGCTCAGCTGTATCTACATAGAGACCACAGAAAGAACAATCCTGATTGGATTATTTACCATTGGGTGTTTCAAGATTTCAGCTCTTGTATTTCCAACCAAACAATGACATAAGAGTAATATTACAATACTTACAAAGGTTACATGAAACATAATGATTCTATTAAATGAAATAGAATTAAACATTACACATGTGTTTATTTCACAGAAATCATTAGGCCTTCTCTGGAGATCTAAAAGGTTCTCAGGGTTCTGCATGGCTGATTTGTCAGTTTATTTTCATATTTCAGAGTGTGAGGTGTAATCAGAGAGATTCAGAGTGGTTTGGTGTGAAATGGTTCAGATGTCTTTACAGTGGTGGTGATAGGAACCAGGGGTCGCCATGACTACAACACAGATATAGACATTTTATTTACTATCCAGAACCACCAGTGAACCTACACGAGTCTTCTGAGTCTATATGGAATGTTGATGATGGAAAATAGTGGAAAATCTGAAATAATCAGTTTTCTTTGGGGACTATTTTGCCTCACAGCGCCCTGCATGTATCCCTCCACCATGAATGGAGTTTAAGTTCTCTAAACTATCATAAAACAGTGTCTCAGTCATCAGGCAGTGAATTCATAACCATTTCATGTAGGAACGTTTCTGTGAGGGTGTAAGGGTCCAGCCTGCGCTGCCGGCCACCAGCAGAGGGCGACGGTGGCAAAGTGCCCAGCCTGCCAGAAGTGCCATAACTTCAGGAAACTCCAATTCCCAGAAGCCCACGGGCTGATTAGGCCCAACCTGACACACCTGTGGACTCCTCTACTTAAGGCTGTGGCAAAAAAGTAGCTCTTTGTCCCACTTTTGTAGAGTGGTGACCAGTACGGTACGCAGCCCAGGTGGGTATTTAAACAAAAAGAAAAGAAAAACAAAAAAGAAAAGAGGGCTGGAAGAAACAAAAGAGAGTAATTGCCCCAAAACTACTCAAAAAAAAGAAGGCTTGAGCTACAAACGGCTCCAAGCCATTTAAAGGTGTCTGCTGCACTAAAAGTAAACAAGTGAAACATAAAGTCTGCCTTCCCTTCAGAATTACAGCGGAAGAGTCTTTTATTTTCTCATTGTCTTTTATTTCACGTTTCTAGTTCAGCCTCTGTTTGAGCTGCTTTCAGCGTTTCCTTTGTTTGTTGCTGTTTTTCCCGCCTTTTTTTCTTGGTCACCTGTGCTTCCCGGTGGCGCAGTGGTAACTCCACCTGGCTCTGGGTACCTGATCCCTAACGTGACAACTCACATCCCACTACCTCAATAAATTTATTTAACACCCTTTTTCACTGGTTTTCATTTTTGCACTTGGGTCCGCCTCCCTGCCGCCCCGTAACAGAGGGAGCTTTTAGAGGTGGACGTCTGGTTCCTATCACCACCACTGTGAACAGTTCTGACTCGGTAAGTCTATCTAGAACGGAGACGTTTCACACCAAACCGCATGAAAGAATGAACTATTTAACCATCCTCAAAACTGAGCCAGCTTTCACACTCAACTACCAATGATATCACAAACCTCTCTGTGCTCTTCAGCAGGAACACATTAAAGCTCTTCAGTTTTCCTGCATTATAGCGACATCTAGTGGTGCCAAAACATAACCTTTTTATATTCCAGTACAAACTATATGCACAAAAACTAGACAGAGTTGAGAAAAGTGAGTTCGGTATTAGAATGAATCTGAGTTTATAACTGTGCTGTATGGCCTGTTATGATGTGAAGATTTGTTTTTAGATTAAAAGAACCTGTGTGCATATAAAGGTGATCAGATTTCTGAAATGAAAAATGGGGACACTTCCAGTTCAGCAGTCCACACTTCATTAAAATATCCAGTGGACATTTTAGGGGGCAGTTCCAGTTTCCTGCATTTTGTCCATGATAACTGCTGTACTGTAATGAACTCTGGTGAAGGCTGACTGACCAAACTGAGAACTAACTAACTTTGTGTCAGAAAATCATACAGTAGCTACTATGGTGAGTGAAGAAAAGGCCAATATCCAGACCCTAAACACCCCCTGAGCAGCTCCAGTTCTGGACAGACAGAGACGCTGCTATCAGCAAACACCATATGTCATATATGGACGGCTGATAAAGTGATGCAGTTTAAACTGGTGCTCTGTTTGTGGATCTCATGGTGGCTACGTTCAAGCAGACTGTCTGCCTGTATGAATCAGAGCCCACCGATCAGCTGATAGTGATTCAGTCCCGTAGCTCCACCCCTGCTTTAACTCCTGGGTCACCTTGTGTTATAAAAAGACGTTTGTGGTGATGTTGTGGACTCACTTGACACTTCACAGCTTCGGCCTGACTTTTACACAAAACCAGACGAGCAAGTGGTAGAAGTGGTCAGTAGACAGCAGCAGCACCCTCTGCTGGCCAAAACAACCACAACGCGAAACGTCTGCCTGTCTGCTCTGCTGCAGGTCTTTTTTAGGACTTTCAGGTTCTGTTTTTTAATCCACAGTTAAAAACGTCCCCATTTTTAACTCTGAACTGTGACGTCTGGTCACCCTAGTGCATATTAAACGGGGCTTTCAGCCTAAAAACTAGAGCTTAATGTGCTATTTGCTGTTTTTTTTTGTATTCTACACAGCATTTTATCTCTCAGGTTCATCAGTTTCACAGAATTAACAACTTTTGTTTTCATATTTCATATTTTGCATTATTTATCAATTCTCTCAGTAAAATACCCAGCTTGCATTATGCAAATCCTCACTGCTGGCCTACCCACTGAGCTACAGGCTAATATTTACAAGCTAACTTTAGTATTATCGTATCTCAGTCGTCATAACATACCATAAAGAAAAGTTATTCTGTCTTTATTTAGCACTAAATAAACACTAGAGATGAATTTTACCCTTTCATTGAGAAAAGGAGCCAAGCTAAAGTAAGATATCTAGATAGCCAGGTAGCTACTTTGCTAACTGTAGCTTTTAGCTTGTTGTTTATTCTGTCATACATGCTAAAATGTGAGTTTGCTACATAACTAATAAGTATTTTATTTATATTTACCCAACACACTGAAATCTAACGACTTTTGTAGTCAGCTTAAATAACTGTGACCTGTAATAACTGTGTAGAATGCAAGTTTGTTAATGGGTCATTGACATGATGTGCATATTTTGTGTCCATTATTTTCCCAAAAAATAATTTAATAAATACATGACATATCAAGTTATTCAACAACGCCTCTTTTTTGTGAATTTTCATTACATCCATCCATACATTCATACATCATCTAAACCGCTTATCCTTCTGGGTCGCGGTGGGTGCTGGAGCCTATCCCAGCTGTCATTGGGCGGAAGGCAGGATACACCCTGGACAGGTCGCCAGTCTATCACAGGGCAGACAGACAGACATACACATTCATACACACACCTAGGGGTAATTCAGCACATCCAATCAGCCTGACTGCATGTTTTTGGACTGTGGGAGGAAACCGGAGTACCCAGAGGAAACCCACGCAGACACGGGGAGAACAGGCAAACTCCACACAGAAAGGAACCTGGTCGCCCGGCCGGGAATCAAACCCAGGCCCTTCTTGCTGTGAGGCGACAGCGCTACCCACTGCGCCACCGTGCCGCCCCCATTACATCCATATAAAACTTAATTTAGTTACTTTTTGCCTCAATGTATAAAAATGGCAGGTGGGGCAACAGTCCAACCATGCATACTGATTAAGTAAATGATCAAAAAAAGGTAATTTAGTGATATAAAGTTCTAATTAAATAGTTTGACATGAATTTGTTTGAAAACTTATTCTGACATGCTTTTACAAAAAAGGGCCCGGGATATTGCATGGTGCGGTGCCAAGGTCACAGATTTAGTAAAAGTGTGATGTTTGAGTCGCGATTAGGACGGTTCTGTTTACCATGTCAGGTGGTCTGACCTCAGGAGAACCATGAACATGTGCAATTATTATAATAATGTTTATTTATTTGAAAAAAATGTAAGTATAAACTCAAGTTGAAGGACAAAGATTTCTACAGGTGTCAAAGTAGATCCTGTTTAATTTTAAATTAGTCTGAAAAGTCAGGCGGCGCAACCAGTCAGTCAGATGGAGCAACCAGACCAGCATAGTTTAATAACTGAAACAGGCAACTAAAGCTTTAAGAACTCTCACTGTATTTAAGATAAGAAAATACGCGTCATATTTTTTTGAAACCTTCTGTGTCAGTGACCCTTATAATAGATGGCTAGCCATGGTAAAATTTTTCACTAATGTGAGCAACACACATCTTTTAAAATAGCTTTATTTTTTTATTTGTACAGTACGCACCACAAATAAAAACAGTGATTTCTTATGAGTCACAGTGAATGTTATTAAATAAAGTACAGTAATACAGTCCCCAGTGCTGGTCCAGTGTCTTTTCCACACAGTGATGATGGTCAGGGCTGCAAAATGTATCGCTTGTTAACCATTTATGCAATAGTGATACAGCAGAAGACTCCAATACGTAAATAAGCCCTCTGACCAACCACAGTGTTCTTTACCACGTACTGTGAGCATCCTATCCAATCACAGCTCTAGTTAAGTTTCTGTGTGCATTCATTTGACGCAAGAAACTTAAATTTGATTGGTCAAAACAGTCGTTATTTATGTTATACTTACATTTATACACAGTATATTTGTTTCATGTATTTATGTATTGTTTTTAATATATATCAGGTATATGTATAAGTGCAGTTATTTTTTTACTATTTATTTCTTCTTTTGCCTGTTATTTTAACTCTGCACTGTAAAGCACATCGAAACACACTGTAATGTATGAAACGTGCAATGAATAGTTTATAGTAACAGACCTTTATGAATAGAAATTTACCTAATAGTTTGTTAATGACGGTTAATAATTATATATTTGTGCATTAATAAGTGCTGCCATTTAAATTATTAACCATTTACTTGGTGACATAAGTCAAGTCCCTACACTGAGTTCTAATTAATGATTACTTATGTTCAGAAAGGTCACGTCCACCACTTTATAAGAAAAAAATATGATTAAGCATTAAAATTTAATGCAAGATTAAAAATAACTACTCCATAATTTAGAACGGGACAATTATTAAGCAGTTATTCATATTGATCATGAATTGTTGGCATTGCAACTAAATATTTCAAGCTGAGTATCATCACTAAATTATTATTAACAAACTATAAGTAATGATCAGGTTTCTTCTATTCAAAATGATTGATTATTTATGTCACCAAGTAAAGGGCTAACAATTCAAATGAAACCGTTTATTAATGGATATGTAACTTAATATTTATATAATAGGCATTAACAAACTCTTAGTTAATGTCTGTTGCAGGTTGAAGTGTTCCTATAGTTTAGTTTTCTGTTTTTTGAGGTTAATTTTTTTATTATTTTGTTTTTTTTAAATACAGTATCACACGCAGGATGGCACTTTTAAAACCCTACTAATGGGTGGCTCTTTAGAGAACCATGATTGTCGATGAGACATGAGGTCACTTTTAAAGTTTAAAAGAACCTGGGAGGAACCCTTAAACAGGTGTAGACATTTTACACTATGTGAAGATGAAAATGTTCTAGTAGAGCTGCTTGATGCTTCACTTCCCTCTGTCCGAACTCTGACTGAGTTTTCTGAGGACGTCCTGCGCGAGCCGCTTGCTGTACCTGTTGATCTTGTGGTGTCCCGGCATCCAGCCGAGAAGAAAGCGGTGAAAGTCGGTCCACGCAAAGGCGAACAAACCTCGCCACTCGTCCTCCAGCTCCGCGAAATTCACCCTCTCGCTCGCGGCGCCTCTCAGCTCTGAGAAGTAGAAGTCCAGGTAGCCTGGCACTTTCTTCTCGCACTCTCTCTCATCCATGCAGCTCCCGAGGAAATAGATCACGTCCTTCATCCCGCAGCCGCCCCCGACGTACTGGAAGTCCACGGCGGCCACGCGGGTGCCGTCCTTGGAGAAGCAGAAGTTGGCCAGTTTGGCGTCACCGTGTAAAATGGTCTTAAAGCAGCAGCGGTTCAGCACCGCGTCGATCTCTCCTGCAGCCGCCTTCAGCTTCTGGTCTCTCATGACCTCCAGCTCGTCCGGACGGGTCTCCAAGTGCCAGTACGTGCCCACCGGCCAAAGACCCTGCGGAGACACACCCAGGAACAGGCCGTGGAAGCTGGCGAGCCATCGGAGACATGCTTTTATCTCTGCATCCCGTACGCTGGTTCTCCTTTCCGGGAAACCGGCAGCATCCAGGTCTTCCAGAACAATCAGCTGCTCGTCACCAAACGACTGCGCCGCGAGGCATTCGGGGATCCGGCAGCGCTCATTGGTGCTGTAGTTCTGGTACCAGTGAGTTTCTACCTGGTGAAAGAGGCAAAATTAGAAAGGTGACGATTCATGCCTTGATTTTTGGATTGTCAGAGCAGCGGTCACACTGCTTATAGCCCAGTGCCTCAGCCACAATTCACATTTTAATCACTAAAAATGCTGAGCCTGAGGCCCAAGTGGCTGCTTGCCTTAAGCTGGGCTTAAACTACACAACTTTTTTTTTTTTGCCTGATTTTAACCTCGATTTACCCCTTGCGACAAATTTTCACAATCTGAAGCGATTCTCCAGGAGCTTGTCGTGGAAAAAATATCTTCGCAGCTTTGCTCCCGACACAGAACTCAAAAAAGCACAGTACCAGGCTCGGCAGGAAAAATGGCACAACTCTTTTATTGAAGATTAACAGAAAAATAAAAGGCCTAAGCCTTCAAGCTTTATTTGCTTCATCTATTGTATTTGAATTTGCTTTTATTTATTTCTAGTACAACTGTACTTTTCCTTTTTTCCCAATGCTAATTTTAATGTCTCATGATATAAACAGACTCCAGCTGTATCTGTGTGGCCCACCAAGTCACAGCTGATACCTCAAGGCCACTCACACACAGCCAAACTGCTTATCCACCTTTTTTTCCTTGTATATGAATAACTATGATTGAATTCATCTATTACTTTTGAAAAATCTTTTATATTTTACATTATCAAAAACTCCCACAAAAACAGTGAATTCAAAATGGGACGTTTTTCCATATGTGGACTGTCTAGACTGAGCAGTGGATGGTGATAAATACATTTTTGGCCAAAACTTTATAATAAAACTATCACAAAACAATGTCTCAGGGATCAAGCGACGCATTCATAACCATTTTGTGTAATAACTTAATGGGTCGTCTGTAATCGTCTGTATTTCACTACTTCACTCCTGCGTATGGGTTATTTGTTTTTTCAGGGTTTCTTCACAAATAATTCCAAACTGTATCAAATGAGTCGTGAAGTTTGAGATGTCATGATGCACTGAATTAGAAAATCCTGATGGAGCTGCTGTGAGGAGGCCCTACCTGGTAGGACCTGACCTTGCGCTGGTGAGAGATGTCTGTGTTCCAGCCTCCCGGGTGGTGTTTAGACTCCTGAGGAAACATCACATGTTTGACCACTACAGATGGACGGTCGCAGCCTTGCAAGTGGACCCTCACTATCTGACCATAGCCACTCCACAGCGTCTGAATCTTGGCCCCGATCTGTAGGCTCTCTGCAGAAGAGGCTTGCAAGATGAGGTCTTGATATTCCTGCTTCATTCTTAGGAGTAAAAACCCTCTGTTAGTACAAAATGTGTAAAAACATCAATAATAATTACAATAACTACGAAATAACAACATATAACAACCGCTTACAACGACTACTAAAGCAATAGCTCTTGTTAGATCACACCAGGCTGACGTTGGGTTCTTATTCGAATTTTCCCGTTCCACCTTAAATGGTGCAGCGCCAGAATGTAACCGCTGCGGCATTTAAGGTGGAACGGGAAATTCGAAAGAGAAGCTAACCTACATAACACTAAAGTTATATCACTTGTTTATCTGACTCGTATCAGGAACCTTAATACACATAAATACCTTTGTAAGCAGTTGTTCGTCAGTAACCGAGGATCGGCGTTAATACCTGCAGCCCATTTCATTCAGGGACAAACGGCTGCGCCAGCGCCGGCAGCTTCCGGTCTGTTCACGCACGAACGGAACTATGGGAAATGTAGTCCCTACACTACAACAGCAGTAATATAGTTCACCCGCTGTGCAGAGGCTCATGTTTTCCAGCTCCAACGCTTCCCAAACCATTACTTGTTATGTAAAATATTACGGAGGTCCAGACAGGCCAAAAGCTGTGGCTATAATTTGCTGGATTGTACGGAGCCCTGCTGGTGACATCCCATGTAAATAAAAATAACATGTGGTCACGCCATATTAACATGTGGGAACGAGATCCGAATGCGTGGCCATGACTTAGTAAGGCGTGGGAAAGAGATCATGCCTTATTAAGCTGTGGTCAAGGCTCAATTACCTCATTCCCACCATCAAGTTGTGGCCCCTCATTAGGATCTCGTTCCCACACCTTACTAAGTTGTGGCCACGACTTAATTATCTTATTCCCACACTCTACTAAGTTGTGGCCATGCATTATTTTATTTATACTATACCAGCAGGGCTCTGTATCATCGTTATTTAATTTCTTTGTGATCTCAATATGACGATTTAATTATCTTGTGATCTCGAGATAGCAAAAGTTGTTATATGGAGATCACATCTTAATTTCGTTTCGCGATTTCTATGTAACGACTTTTGTTATTTTGAAATCACCATGATAACTATGTTGTGATCAAGATGACAACTTTGTTACCTTGAAATCACAAGATGGTTTAATGTGATTTAATGGTTTCTGTGATTTTATCAGCAGTGTATTTAAGGGTAAATAAAAAGTGTTTATTATTGACTTAGATAAACTGTGCTGTATCAGAGTGAATTCAGTCCATATATTGTTTTCTGTGCAAAACAGATTTATTTACTGCACATTTTATTATGCAAAGTACAGATTTTTTAGATTTTTAGATTCTGAATCATTTTATTTCCCTCCACAAACATCACTGGTATCAGCCTCAGGAATATGGTCTGTTGGGTTGAGTTTGCAGCCCATCTGCCCCACAAAGCCTTCCAAACTCAGAGAGAGTGACACGTCAGCAGGCTTTAAAGCCTCTTAGCACTGCTGTGTGCTGCACTTCTGCTTAATACATAACAGGAAAAAAATGTTTTTTTCGTAATTTTTTTTTGTGAACAATTTTGCCTCGTTAGAAGGTCAGAGACATATTTTCATATGTTCGGACATTATTTAAATTGGCTGATCTTTACCAAATGTGCCGTTAATTGTGTGAGAGGACTCTGTGGTGATAAAGCAGAGAGAACATACACACTGATGACACACTTTGACACAGCAGTGTCCCCATCTAATCGTATTGTTTCCTGTGCTCTAATGTAGAGCTGGGCGATATGACAAAAATATAATATCACAATACTTTAAGAATTTTTTATGATACACAATATTTATCTTTTTAGATGTCTGGCCAGTAAAAAAAGAGAAATGACTCAGTAGAGATACATTTTAAAAAAAACTATCAAAAACTATTTGTCACTAAATCCAGTTAAACTGGACTAATTTTGCTCTCTTTATAATGAATCATGCAGCTGGTCAGTGTCCACAGGTACTGACGACATACATTATATGTTCAGATAAGCATATTATATTGCAATGTGACGTAATTTATCATGATAATATATCATTATCATATTGCCCAGCCCTACTCTATCGCATCCAATCAGTGCCATTCATCATTGCATATTATATATCGCTGCTGTCGGAACAAAACTTTATCTCCATTTTTCTTGTTTTTCAGGTTTTGTCCTAATTTGAAAATGCCTGTTGTTCTTTACATTGTGTGTAAATTTTATGATGAACGGACCAAAAGAAACAGCCCAAAAACGATGTGGAAAAAAGTCTGGTTCCGTTGACTTACATTAAAGGAGAAGGAAAAAACCTACTTTAAAAGTAAAGTTACCAATTTGGAGATATGAGGTTTTCATCCGACAACAGGGATAAGTTTAAACATAATAATATACAGTTTGTCAGAATTTGACACAGCTGAAAGAATCCAATCAGGGCAGCTGTGAAACTCTGCCGCTGTGCTCACAGACAGTTTTACAGGTTTCAATATGATGCAACTGAACGAGACAAGAGAAGGAAGAGATGAAACTCAAGGTCTCCAAGGCTGCAAATGGGAGATTATGAGCTGCAACCAGCTTTCAATCAAACTTCAGCTTTACAATCAACAAGAATTAATAATCCAACAAGTTCCAGACTTTAATTTCAGTTGAAGTGCAATCACGGCTAACAACTGACTGAGAATTAGCAAAATAAAGGCCAAGAGGTTCTTCAGATCAGAGGAGCTCCAAACACCTCCACCTCACACAGAGTGAGAAACTCCTTCCTTCCTGGAATCACAACGTTGATGTACCGTCCCTCCATCCCGTTACACTCAAAGGATATGGAAGGGGTCTGACCTGCGTTAGAGACCAAACCACACCTATAGAAGCAGGAAAAGAGAGATGGAATTATTACCAACAGTAGGTTATTTTACAGAGGAAATGTTAATAAATCCAAATTTGAATAAATGGGATGCAGATTTTGAGCTGTGAGACCTGAAACATATTTTACACAAGGACATGAATGCAAATGACCACACTTGGCCAGCGCACTGCAAACGCTCGGTCCTTCCGTACAAACTGATGGTGTAGTGTAGTGGGTACCCCCTCTGCCTTCTATGCTGTAGACTGCAGTTCAGTCCGCTGCCTGGGTAACCAATAAGAGTCCTTGGGCAAGACTCCTAACACTACCTTCACCCATCTGTGTAAACTGATCACATTGTAAGTCGCTCCAGATAAGAGCATCTGCCAAATGCTGTAAATGTACAAACTCACTGTGCATTGTTATGTTAGTGTGGCAGTACTGAAGGGGGCGCTAGAGGACACATCAGAGAGGATCTACTGTTATTCCAAGAGCCTCAGCAGCTGAACGTGGACAGCAGAGGAGAGTGAGCTGCTTCAGCTCTTCTGCTGGAACTGAAAGGCCATAATGGACCTTATTAACTTTGTTTATGTAAGTCGTCTTGGAATGAGACTCAGCTGTTCATCTGCTGTGGAGTGCCGGCAGAACAAGACCACTTGGACAGGCTTGGCTGTCGTTATAGCGCCCCCTGCTGTAACACTCAGATTGCACTTGCGTCGCGTTAGGAAGCATCTGTGATCGCGTCCTTGCGTGAAGTGTGTTTCAAAGCTGTAGATTTCAGGATGTGATGACCTCCCTTACTTTAACTGCCCTGTATCTTAGCACTATTTTAACTTTAAATATATTTTATTTTATTTGGTATTTCACTCAAGATCTTTAATCTTCAGCTTCTAAATTTTAATATGTGATTCATATGACCTCTAAATATTTTCCTAAACTTTATCGACTCTTTTGGAGGTTTAGTTCAGTTGTGGCTGCTGTTCAGCGGTGAAAGCTGTATGGAAATGACTTGATTATGATCACATTTGCACTTCTTACTTCTAATGCACTTCTTATGTCTTTTGTAACAGTCCTCACGAGGCCTTTCGGAGATGCTGGATCTCAGGGATGTTATGAGCTGTGTTATTATCAAATGCTTTCATTTTTCTGTAAAGCACTTTGAATTGACACTGCGTTTATCTGTAAGCCTGTACTTATGTTGTTATTCTTAATTTAATACATATTCATTTAATCTGAATTAGTGATACAATTCCATCCCTGAATAGTGGTGTGTTGTGTTTGTGTTTTCTCACCAGTAGCTGATAATTAATAACAATAAAAAACAGTGTTTCAGTTGCATATATTTTTCACCTGGCATTTTATTGAGACAACTTGTCATTTATTATCACAACTCAAGAGTAAAAAATGTTTTGTCACTTAAACCTGAAGACAGTTTACCTTGGGTTGTTGTTGCCGTTGTTGTCCAGACTGTCTCCAATTCTGATTTCAGCTCCATTCAGTCTCACAGAAGTGGCCTCCTGCCTGTTAAAGACGGTGATGGTAAACACTTTGTGCCGTTTCAGCAGGTCCAGCCTCCACCATGGACTGAGGTCGTGGTTCGTGTGTGTGCAGGAACTGTGAGAGAACACACCATCTCGGTTTCCGTCAATGGCGTTGAAAGGAAAACCAGTACCATAAATGCTGGACTGTGTAGCTCTTCCCGTCAGTGCTAAATTCTCTCCTGCACAGGAAGCACAGTCAAAATTCTTGATTTATTTATAGCAAATAGATCACTAATTACATCTAAAAGAACAAAATACCTGATTCATAGACAGTTTACAAAAAAGATAAAGTCAGAATATGAAGGTAGACACGGTTCATTCTGACAGCGAAGTCTGAATATTTAATTCCCTCACTTATCTTTTCTGAATGTTACTCTTTTCTTATGAAGGTCTGTTTTAAAGAGTAACTCCACCCCAAGACCTTTTTTCATTAACAGCTGAAATGCGCTGCTCTGTAATAATAATATACATGAGCTTTGCTTAAAATGTGAGCACATCTTTCCAAACTGTAATAATATCATTTCTATCGTGGTCAGTTCCACCTCTGCAGCGCCCCCTCTGGTTCAACTCTGCTATAGGCATGGATGCACAGTACGCAAATCAGTCAAACAACGTTACCGGCCCCTGATGACGCCCCACTCGCGCCTCACTCATAAATATGAAAGCAGAGGAGCTGAGAGCGAGGAGAGAACCGCACTCACACACTGAGCTAAACACCCCCAGCACCACCTCACAAGGCTGAGATCTGCCAGCTGTCTGTACCAACTGTACATAACCCAGTTAATCTGAGCTCAGTTTGGAATAAAGATGTTATGATTAGCACATTTACTGATAGTTTTCAGCATATGAGTAGATAATCTGAAGGTCTGATTAAGTGAGGATTCTTGGGAGTCTCCATAAAGCTGCCGGTGTTGCATCCGATTCACGTTTCCCTTCACAACTCAGACCCTCAGCGCGCGACTCACTAAACAGACATTAACAGCAAACAACACTGGAACTACAGAGAGAGAAACTGTTCAGGAAAGGTTAACGTAAAAAGGCCGTTGTTACCGACTGTGTTAACCTTTCTTGGACTTTTTTCTTTATTTTATCGAATATGGACCAGCTGAACAGATAACCAGAAGGAATGTTCTACCGTTCAGCGCCTCTGCTGCTCACTGTCAGTCATTTTCTGCCCTATATTGAGTTTTTGGTGGTTTGAGTCAGCGGCTCATACTGTTAAGGCTCAAGACGCACTGCCTGATCAGAAACTCCTTCCCGCGTTGAAGATGGGGAGGGTAGTGGAGAAAAATCGTCCGCCTCATAAGACTCTCAGATACAAAAGTGCCGTTTGATTCTGTCTCTCTCCATATTTTCTGGTAGCTACGTACGCTAGCTCTAAAAACACAGCAGCCCAGCCCACCCGGCTTCCCTCGCAGCCCCACCTCCAAACATCACTGCAGTGCCCTCCCAGCTGGCCCCACCCATTTTAGAGCATTTTTCAAAGTTGACCCAGGGGTGGTGTTACTGAACACAGTGGGGTGTAGTTACTCTTTAACTGTCTTGCAGATACATATTTGGCTTAACACTGCAACCACATCATGAAGAGACTGGAATCTGACAGTGTAGCTTGTACAGTTCCATATTTATTAACCATTTCAGGATAAAAGCTCTGATGTAGGATGAAGCTTCTCATGCCCACAGAATTAGATGTGAATTTTACATTTGTAAACAGACGTAGACGATCAGTGCTCTTGCTCTGAGTAAACATGGACTCTACGTGTGTAGTTATGTTTTGTTCTCACCACGCTGAGTGGGATATCCATAGACTTCAACCTCACAGAGAGTCAGAATCCGGTAGTTTCCAGGTATGATGACGTTTACATAACGTCCTGAGAACCTTTTATCCCAGTGGAAGGTGAAGGATCTTCCTGGAGGAATGGAAGAAATCACCTCCGCTCTGAAAAGTAGAAAACACACAGACATTTAAGCTCCATTTAGGAATCATCCACAACTTCTGTCCTGCTCGACAAAATACATACAGATCAAAAGTGAATGTTGTCTTTCAGCAAAATCATGATAATCATGATGAATCTTAACATTTCATTTCACACCACTTCATGCCGGCATCAGGGTGCTGCCTTCGCCTGACGCTGCTTGGCTGTGTCCGTACAGTGTGTGGCGGCAGAGAGATGGAGCTGCCGTGACCACTCATCACACAGGTGCGAGCTGAGCACCGACACCCTTAAAAACGACCTCTCTCTGGAGGGCAGGGCAGGGCAGGAGACATATTAGATTTATTGACAATATTTAAGATAATTTTACTTGACAAGACACCATTTTTTGCAGTGCAAAATCAGAAAAGGCCTCAGTATATTGACCACCTAGGTATTTCTTCCTGTGGGGTTTCAGTATCATGTTTCAGATCATCTTACACTGCAAAAAATAGCATCTTGTCAAGAAAGATTATCTTAATTCTAGTCGATATATCTAATTTCTTGTTTTAAGATGGTTGTGCACTGATTATAAGATTACTTAGCTTATTTACAAACATTTTCACTTGTTTTAAGTAATTTCATTAAGTAAAATGATCTCACTACACTGGCAGATAACTTAGCTTGTTTCAAGCACATTTCTTACAACAAGCACAATTATCTGCCAGTATATTGTGAGAATTTTACTTAATAAAATTACTAAAAACAAGTAAAAAATGTTTGTAAGTAAGTTAGATAATCTTAAAATGGGCTTATACCAATCTCAACAGGAGAAATATTGGATATATCGACTAGATTTAAGATCATTTACTCTACAAGATGCTATTTTTTGCAGTGTAAGTGCGTGAACTGAAAACAGTAGCTTTTAAAAGAAAAGTATAGGATTGGTATCGGGCGGTACTTCGTGTTTCAATATCGGTATCTGTATCATTATTAGTTGCCAATCACTACTTAATGCTGACATCATAAAATAAAGTCTGTTATTTAGGGTATATTAATGCTTTCAGTAGGTTTTTTACCGGATTAACAAAATCAAAGTTCGCCAGAAACTCATGAAGCTTGCAAGCTAAAGTGTGTCTTTGAGTCCTCTCACCGTGGATTGTCATTTCCGTTGTTGCGCAGAGAGTTTCCGATGTGTATCTCAGCTCCGTTGATCCTCTCTGAATAGCCGTCTCCTCTGTTAGTGATGGTGACGGAGGTCACTGTGTACTCGTCCAGAAGGTCCACTGTCCACCAGGGGTTTTGTTGAGAGTTGGTGGCGGTGCACGACCCATGGTTGTAATTCGAATCAGTATTTCCATCTATAGCGTTGTAGGCGTGACCGAATGGAGCCCAAGGGTTGCCATACAAGCTTGACTGTGTGGCTTTTCCATAGAGAGCGAGGTTCTTGCCTAGAATGAAAAGAGCAATGCAAGTGCAAATGATTCTGTTCAATTACTCTTTTTTGTTGTTATTTTTTTTTAGTTGCTTTGAGACCCAGGCCCATTGTTTGAATGTATATTTCCATCTATAGCATCCTAGGCATGATCGTTTGGCACCCAGGATACAGGTAAAGTAACCAGGGTGAATGTTGACTGTGTGGCTTCGCTGTAGAGAGTGAAGATATCAGGATTAAACAGAACAGAGCGCAACACAAAGCACTAGTAATTCTTTGAATGTGGTTAATGATACTAAAATTTAATAGTGAATGATCATATTAGGTAATATTCAAATGGACTGATTTTTTAAAAAAAAATATGCTTATAATAACTTTTTTCTATAAATGCTGGTACCTGCAGTTCAATTTGGGGTTGAATCATGGGTACTAAGTGGAAACATGCTGGCAGGATTATAGCACATTGTCACAGATTCCCCCTTTTGTCCCTCTGAGTGTGTCTGTTTCTCCCCCTCTATGGTAGCCATGTGACTTTTGTTTTCTTGTGCCATTTGCTTTTGTTGTTGTTCTATGTCTCTTCCCTGGTCCTGCCTCCTTATTATCTGCTCCACCTGTCTGTGCCCACCCCCTCAGTGTATTTATACCCCTGTGTTTGTTCAGGCTTGGTCTTGCATTGTTGATGTTACGCTGCTGCTTGTTTTTGTTGATCTTGTTTGATTTTGTGTCATCATGGACTTCTCTGTTCTACCACCCTCTGCTACTCATTAATTTGAATAAATGCTGCTGTCAGAACAAAACCTCGTATCTCCATTTTTGTTGTTTTTCAGATTTAAAAAAAAGTGAAAATGCCTGTTGCTCTTTACATTGTGTGCAAATGTAATGATGAATGGAACAGAAGAAACGGCCTGAAAGTAAAAGTCTGGTTCAATTGACTTACATTAAAACAGTAAGTTTTTTTTTTCTCCCGTAAAGTTACTATTTTGTAGATATGAGGGTGTCTTCACATTTCTCAGTGATTGGTGAAATCTGCGACTACTGTATTAATTAACGTTAATGAGCCGGGGAAGCCCTAAACCTGCTGCAAGAGATAAAGGAAAGCAAGTTCTAGGTTGAGGTGAACCTCTGGGGAGGTAAAGCTTCAGCTATTACTATACTGTAAAGGTGTAGCGCTTTGTTTTATGGTGCGGTAAGTAACGAGTATTTAACAGGTAAATATGTAGTACGTATATGTACATTTTCTGGTACATACTTTGCACATGCATAATTTACACAAAAAACTACCAGGTACCTACAGCTGCACTTCCGATGAATTTAATAGGTAAATATGAAGTGTATTTGTATATATTAATTATTTTACATTTTATATATTCTTTGTATTGAAAGTCACAACACATTACATTTCATTACATTACTGAATCCTGGGCTTTGTGCTTAATTCATCCATGTTTTACACGTCAGTTTGCTTTTACCATTGTCTACTTTTGGATTCAGACAGAATTTTGTGAGTTACAGTTGGTTCAGACAGAGATTTGTGGACTACAGTCGGGTTCAGATAGAAATGTATCTGGCATTTTGTGTAGCTACAATGTCTTATAGCAGAAAACCTTAAAATTTCAGAAAAAGAAAGACTGCTATCCATAAATAATTGAAAAAAAAACATATAGAACTTTTTTAAAATTGTTGTGGCTTTGTGGTTTAACACATCTGAAAAAAAGACATGACTGTGAGGATAAAGTTCAGAATGGCTGTTTAATATGGTGGCATTTACATGTGAGCTGACCACGCTGAAATTAAAAAGAAAAGCTGATGAGTACCTTTGGTGGAAGATGCATCAATGAAACCAGACGCTGCAATGATCCCAAGCAGGTAAAATATATGATGATCCATTTTTCTAAAAAACAAAATTACATATATTACATTAAGTCTTTTGATTTGTGCACATTTATTGTAATGTACTATATTCATTCTTTATTACAATATTCTAAAACACTATTTTCTAGCAAAATTACTATAAACATTCAGCTGCATCACAATTCTGAGATGAACTCACCTGTAAGTGAAGGGTGCAGAATGGATGCCAACAGCACTCAGGCCTTTATATAAGGCTTAATATTCAAAACAGGTCATGACTTGTTAAATAATTCATAGAATACACATAGTCACAAAATAGGATATGAGCTATAAAGCCATCCTGTAATGTGGGAGGGGGCTCTGTCTATGTTTACTGTTTTTAATGTGATCTGTACTTCGTCTGAATTCCAAACCAAATTTACACAAGATATAAAATTTACACAGAACATCTGCTTCAATGTGATGGTATACGACTGTGAGCTGAACCACACTGGAAGTGAGGCTGGACATTTGAACCAAATTTGCTGTTCAAATATCAGCAAATCTTCATGAATAATGTTTGATTACTTGGATGTTCATTTTTTTATGTTATGTATATAAAATTAAAATGCAGAGGGTTTAATGTTATTTTTAATATTTTATATTGGTTATGAAACAATCCATAGAATGTTTGATCACATGAGGGCGTTGTCTATGTGCATTGTTTAAATACAAGTTATACATTTAACAGAGCTGCAATCAAACCAGTGGATAATGTCAACATTGCCTCACCTTAGTGCTACTATCTCTTGGTGCTGAGAGGGTATATTTTATATTTCTGTATGCAGTTGCAAGTCCCAAAGATGTACAGTTCAATTTATTAAATCAGCTTCAATTGAATTTTCTGACAACAATCCAGAAAATTATAACTACCTCATAGCCTCACTGGACTCCCATAAAAATATGCATATAGTCATATGCAAATGTTTTTATGGACACATCCTGTACAGAGAACATGCTCCTCCTGTTTTAATGTGCTGTCTATTTGCTGAATTCAACTTATTATAAAGTCAGTCAATTGATTACTGAATGACTTAAATATAATAACACGACGGTTGGTGTTTGGTAGTGACAAATTAAAAAAGTGAACCCTGCTGAAAAAACAGCGACTAGGATTAAAACTTGGGAATTGGATGAAAGATTACTATTACACTGCAAAAAATGGTGTCTTGTCAAGTAAAAATATCTTACATTAGTCAATAAATCTAATATTAAAATGTTAAAATTGTTGTAAACTTAATTTAAGATTATTTAACTTATTTCTACACATTTTTACTAGTTTTGTCATTTTATTAAGTAAAATTATCTCACTATATTGGCACATAATTTTGCTTGTTGTAAGAAATTTGCTTGAAACCAGAAAAATCATCTGCCAGTATAGTGAGATAATTTTACTTAATAAAGTTACTGAAAACAAGTAAAAAATAGAAATCAGGAAAATAATCTTATAATCAGTGCACAGCCATCTCAAAATGGAAAATGTTAGAGTTATTGACTATATTTCAGATAATGTTATTTGACAAGATACCATTTCTTGCAGTGTAGAGACAATAGTTTCCTATAGGACACGTTTAGATTATGTTAGGAAACCATCAGATGCAAGTGGATTCAGAACATCTGTTAAACCATTACAATGTGATATCAACCCATCAGGAAAACACAGAATAACATTACAGATTGTTGGACACCACCAAAAACCAACAGACACTTTTAATGGTTTCTGTGATTTTTCAGCAGGGTTAGCAAATCACTGTCGTCGGAAGAAAAGCTCGTATCTCCAAAATACTAACTTTACAGGAGAAGGGAAACAACATACTTTACTTTTAATGTAAGTCAATGGAACCAGAGTTTTTCCAAGTCATTTTGGGTCATTTGTTTCGGTCCATTCATCATGAAATTTACACAGGATGTAAAGGACAATAGGCATTTTAAAACTACATCAAAAATGTATATGAGATATGAGGTTTGTCTTCTGACAGCAGTGATATTTAAGTGTAAATAAAAGCAACTCCTGATTTTGCCAAGTCACCGATGTCCTGAGGGCAACAACTGTGATAAGGCCATCAGACCAACAAAACACATCAGCCAATCAAAATCTCTTAGCGGCTGTGACATCATCAGTGTGCGCCTGTTGTCTTTCCAAAAGAAATGTGAAAGAAGGAGCAGAGCTAACCGACCTGCTGAAGTTTCTCATCTTGAGGAAGGCACACTTCTATCAGACTCCTGCTTATTTTCTTCAGCTATATTGGTAGTTAGGCTGAGAAATG